AAGAGAACGAGGAAGGCGGAGAAGGTGAGAGAGGTTTTTACTTCTCGGCTTGTGAGATCAGATGCACGATGTCGTCTCTGCTGCGGCTACGTCAAGATAGATAAATAACATTGATGATGTTTTAAATATTAAACATTAAGTTTGTGTTCTGTAAGTTAAGGCTGGAACAAAAAGACGCTCCCCAGTTGCTTTGTATGACATGAAGGGCACAGACTTGAATTTTGTGATATTATATAATTATTATGTCATAATGAACCTGATTTTAATATTATACACATGAAGCCCAACAACATCTTCCATCATCCTCTGTCTCTGTTTGTCGTCAGATGAGAAGGTCACCATCTTTGATAAGACTGAAGTCAACCTGGTTGCTTTCAGAAGAACCATCTACCTCGCTATTCAGTCCAGGTACACACACACACACACACACACACGCACACACACACACGCCTCTTGTAGTTAGGACACTCATTGATATAATGAATTCTCTAGCCCCTTACCATTACTCAACCATCACAACTAGAGACCTTACCCAAACCTAAACCTGACTCTGACCCTAAGACAAAGTCTTTACCCTCAAAATGTCATAATGATGGACAGACATGTGCACACACTCACAATAACACACTTAGAATTACACAGTGATCAGTGACTCACTTGTCTCTGAGGGTGTTTGCAGTTATTTACAGCTCCTGCTAAATCTGTTGAACTTGGACTAATATTTAAAGATGTGTGTGTCAGTGTGTGTGTGAGTGTGTGTGTGTGTGGCCTACTTACCATGCTTTAATTGAAGAGGGTTTCACAGTTACTGACTGACTGGTTGTTTGTGTAGTTTGGACTTTGAGGAGTGCGCCCACAAACTGATCAAGATGGACTTTCCTGAGAGCCAGACGGTGAGTACACACACACACACACACACACACACACACACACACACACACACACACACACTCTGATACAATCACATTAATGATTGTATCTCTCTACATATAAGACATATACCAAGTTATTCATTAATACCACATCTCTTTGTCATTCAAACACATTTCTGACCAGAAGGTGGCGCTGATACTCAAGTTAAGGATTTTGTAATGAAAGGTTCCAGATGTTTGTTTTTTTTTTGAGGTGATGAAGAGCATCAGTGTGATCATGTTGCTGTGTGTGTGTGATGCTTGTTTATAGCTCATGTGTGTGTGAGTGTGAGTGTGTGGAGAAAAGAAAGCTGTGAGAAACATCGTGTGTCAGACGACAATCAGCTCCGAGCCCCGTGGCACAGTCTGATAAAAGGCCCCTCACCCACCTCAGAGACGATGGACATCAGCGTCCTCGTGTACTTGTAGTTTCGTGTTTACGTCTGTTTATGGATATTTTCTGTCTCTTGATTGTGTTTTTTGACTTTTTGATTCTCTTCATACAGAGACTCTAACGTGTGTCTGTGCCAGCTCAGTAACTCAGGAGACCAATTAAGAGTAATATCTGGGACACGTCGTGAACATTAATGTTATCTAACCCGTAACTAATAATTCACATCAATTTTATTTGTATAGCGCCAAATCATAATATACTTTATCTCAAGGCATGTTACATAGGAGGTCAACACTTTAAAAATCATAGAGGTTCTTCAAGGACTAGAAGAAACCTCTAGACTCAGAGCGGGCGGTCGTCTGCCTCCAACGATATTTTCTGTCTTCTAGTAATGAGGAAGAAGTTCTCACAACTTCAACAACTTGTGTGTCGGTCCCACGATGTCGCCTCTTTCTTCTCAAGAGTTTTAAATGTTAGAACTCGTCCCCTGTCGCTCAGTTCAAACACAGACAGACGCCTGTTCTCAGCTGCTCGCTCTGTACCTGAAGTTCAACGCTGTGAACTTCGACCTTTAACTTCGACCATCTGAGCTGCTGATGGACATGACGAGAAATCAAATCATAACACGGAGACGTGTTGGAGTCTGCATGTGAATGTTATGGTTAAACAGTGGAAACTACAGGTTGTGTGGTGACCTCGCCAGACAGAGTTTCATCAGCATCAGGACTGAATCACTCAACACAACAGCTGGAACACACACACACACACACACACACACACACACACAGACACACACACACACACCCTTTTAAGAAGTTTGCCCTTGAACATATTTTCCTCTCAGACGTACTGAGTGTGCAGCCTCAGTCCTGAAAACACTTTTTCATTGAATCTCTGAATAATCAAATGTTCACTAATCATAACAAAAAGAATGACGAAGACTTCTCCATTGACCAGGACCTTGTGCGTCTTAAAATATTTTAGTGGCGAACAGGAGGATGGTGACAACAGAAACTTAAAGCTGCACGAATAAAAAGCTCGATATCTTTTTGTGTGTGTCCGTTTGTTTGGTTTTTGGTTCTTCCTGCACAATCTGGACAGAAGTTTTAAGTCATGACAGCGACTTCAGTTCCTCCAGACCTTCACTGACCTCTGAGAAGGTCGTTCAGATCTGAGCTTCAGAAGATGCAGACGCTGTCTCAGAAGTTGTGACACGTAAATATGTATAATTCTCTGTTTGTGTGTGTGTGTGTGAACAGAAAGAGCTGTGTAACATGATCCTGGACTGCTGCGCTCAACAGAGAACCTACGAGAAGTTCTTCGGTCTGCTGGCCGGGGTGAGACACACACACACACACACACACTATTTGCCTGTTTCTGTGGAAAGTCTACATGTCTGTAAAAAGTTTAATCAGAACTTTTCAACAACTTTCTGCCAAGTTCTGAAGTTTGATCTTGTTTGTGTGTGTGTGTGTGTTTGCAGAGGTTCTGTCTCCTGAAGAAAGAGTACATGGAGAGTTTTGAGGGTATTTTTGCGGAGCAGTACGACACGATTCATCGACTTGAGACCAACAAATTGAGGAACGTTGCTCGACTGTTCGCTCACCTGCTCTACACAGACTCAGTTCCCTGGAGTGTAAGTGTTCACACACGTGCGCACATTAAATTCACTGGAGTCCAACCAACCTCAGGTGAACACACACGACACAGTTTTTTCTCTCTGGTTGAGTTTTCTCCCTCTCCCTCTCTCTCTCTCTGTCTGCTGTGTCCGGCGGATGTCTCTCGACCAGGTGTTGGAGTGTATCAGGATGAGTGAGGAAACCACGACCTCGTCCAGCAGGATCTTTGTGAAGATCCTTTTCCAGGAGCTCTGTGCCTACATGGGCCTCCCCAGACTCAACCAGAGGCTCAAAGACCAGTACGAACACACGCTCACACCTGATGATAGCAGAGTGCGTCCTGCTGGTCGTGAAGAATAAAACAAACAAAACAAAATTGTGTTAATGTTTAACGTCTTGTGCGTTCCAGGACTCTGCAGCCGTTCTTTGAAGGTCTGTTCCCTCGTGATAATCCCAGAAACACTCGCTTCGCCATTAACTTCTTCACCTCCATCGGACTCGGAGGACTGACGTAAGAGACGCAAACACACAGGATATACACGACGTTGTAGTTTTAATATTTGATTCCATGTGCATACGTCAGGTTTCTGAACCCGGTTGCTGTTTTGTGTCTCAGTTTATATTTGCATAAACGTCTCCCTCTCTCTCTCTCTCTCTCTCTCTCAGGGACGAGTTGAGGGAACATCTGAAAAACGCTCCAAAGATGATCATGACGCAGAAACAGGAAGTGGAATCCTCGGACTCCTCCTCGTCCTCTTCATCCTCCTCGTCCTCGTCTGACTCCTCCTCCTCAGACTCCTCCAGCGACTCAGATTCCGACTCCTCCTCCAGCAGCAGCAGCAGCTCAGGTAGGTCTGGATTTATTTTCTGGATTTCATTGTGTCCTGGTGTGCACTTAGGAATTCTGGGTAATAAAATCCTGTGCTCATCCAAAATGTCTTGGTTCAACATGGGAAAAAGTTCTGAAAGTAGATTTTATAAGTTTGTTGGCATGACGATGAATTAAACTGCTTTCTGAGTGAAGTTGAAATGCTTCTAAATTAATTCTGCTGAAACCCTGTTTAACCAAAAATGGACAGAAAAGAGAGAGAGAGTGACGGGTTAACAGACGAGTGATTATTTATTCCTCTTCCTCTCCAGACTCAGACGCCAAACACAGCAAGAAGAAGAAGAAGAGAAACGAACAAAGTGAGCAGAAGAAAAAGAAAGAGAAGGGCAAGAAGAAAAAGAAGGACAAAAGCTCTGACAAGAAGCAAAGCAGACACAAGAACACTGAGGATGACAGTAACGACGAGAAGCAGGCGAGGAAGCACGGGAGAGGCCGTGCACGTGAGGTGGAGGAGCGCGAGCGTGCACACGAGGGCACCCACCAGAGCAGACGAGACGAGAGACCGGAGGAAGAGGAGCTGCAGCGCAAAGACGAGGACAGGAGGCGGAAAATGGACTCTCAAGGCAGGCAGAGAGATGGAGAGAGGGAGCGAGAGGGAGACAGAGGGAGGGATAGGGATAGAGAGCGAGCGAGGGAGCGAGAGCCAGAGGAGAAGAGGGAGAGGGAGCGAGAGAGGAATAAAGAGAACAGGGACAAGAACAGAGAGAGAGAGGAGAGGAGGAGGAGATAGAACTCTTCATCCCTCCATCCTGAAGCCGCAGTGATGGACTGATGACTGACAGACAAGTGAATCTTTTCCCTCAGTCATCCCTCTCTCCTTCAACCCGTCCTGTCACTCTGTTGTTCTGGTTTCGGGACCCATCTTTCTCCCTCTCTCTCTCTCCTTCTCTCTCTCTCACTCTTTCTCTCCATCTTTCTGTCCGTCTGTATTTTCTATTGTTAATTTTTGTTGTTGATGAAATAAGAAAAAGAAAAAAAAACACTATTAAAGTTGCTTTAGATGTTTTTTAATCTGTTTCCAGATCTCTGACCTCGGTTTGTTTTTCTCTGGAGTCGTAGGAAGTCCTGTTGGTTCTTTTTTTTTTATCCCCAGAAGTGGAAAAATATTTTTGGTGAATATGGTAAAAGCAGGCAGAGTTTATATTTATATTCTGGTGAGAAATGATTCACACAGAATCACCTCTGCCTCCTCCTTCTCTACTTATAGCTGCTGCTGCTGCTTCTGTCGCTTCTCTTCACTCCAGTTAAATAGAACCACTGTTGTTTTACTGATATTAATAATGAGCTGCTAATGATTATTATCGGTTAATCTGCTGATTATCTTCTTGATTGATCAGTGAATAGTTTGTCCAGTGAAACAACAGAGAACAGTAAAAAAATAACCAAAACCCTAAAACTTGATTCATTCAACCTTTATTTTAACTACATCGAGGTAGAGACATCATTTATATATTATAGCAACGTATAGAAAAAACAAAAAAAAACACAATTTGCCCAATAGCAAACACGAGTAAAAGTAAGAAGTTTTAGGAATATATGCGACACACAATTTAAAGCAAATGAATCAACTGAAACAACCACTGGAGGTAAATTAAGGTGAGATTAATGTATATTTTAATATAGACCATATTAAAGGAAGAAAACTTTAATAAATACTAAACAAATACTTTAATGACTAATCAAAATAGTACCACTGATACTTCTACTGATCTGAACAACACACCAGCGATAATGATACTGATTAAAATGTGATTCATGGGTTTGAAATATCTTGACTTCTTGTTATATAGTTTTCTGTCGTGGTCCAGATCTTCATGTTTCCCTCAGGATTGATTTGTAAAAACATAATTTTGTGGTGACATTGGGCTCTTGAACAGACGGAAGCAGCTG